TCATGGAGAGGCTGGGTGCTTGAGGCGGCAGTACAAGCCGAGAAGCGTATCGATGATGCTTTCGTGTCGTGTGAGGTTGGACCTGTCCACCACCGGGAGCCGTGCCAATCCCGTTCCTGATGGTCGCGACAGGCAGAGACGATGTCCACCGTGCGACTGGAGATTGCACGGTCCCCTGTCGCACTACTGGGCCACACCCATACGACGACCCTTCGGGTGATAAGGGGGTTGTGGGGGGGAGAGGGGGGGAACCAACATCTGACTCAATCGATCTCACTATCGATCTCATTCAACGGGACACCACGGGACATCACGGGACATCACGGGACTATCGATCTCACTCAACGGGACACCGCGGGCCACCACGGGACACCGCGGGACATTTCTTGACCTCACTATCGGTCCTGCCATCGATCTCATTATCGATCTCACTCAACGGGACACCATAGGACACCACGGGACACCACGGGACACCTCGGGGCACCACATCGATCTCAGTATCGATCTCACCATCGGTCTCACTCAACGGGACACCACGGGACACCACGGGACACTTGTCGATCTCAATATCGATCTCACTACCGATCTCACTCATCGGGACACCACGAGACACCACGGGACATCTCGGGACACCACGGGACACCGCCAAGGCCACCGCAGGACGGAGGACAATCATTTGTTTTGGCTTCGCCCTAGCAACGGCGGGCACCATGGGACACCACGGGACACCGCTAGGGCCACCGCCGGACGGAGGATAATCATTTGTCTTGACTTCGCCCTAGCGACGGCGGACGCCACGAGACACCACGGGACACCACGGGACGCCGCTGGACGCTGCTAGGGCCACCGCCGGACGGAGGATACTCATTCGTCTTGAGTTCGCCCTAGCAACGGCGGGTTCATTCCTTCCGCGCGCCTACGCAGCTTCGCCTCGCCCGCACGCACGACACGAACGAAACGAAACGGTTTCCCGGTTGGGGGTCTCCGTTCCACTGCGATCTCACCCGCCAACCTCCGATAAGTTTCGGATTGCCAGAAACGCCCTGGTAATGCTCCCTTGACATTGAATAAATCTGCACGCCGCCCTGGAACTGCGGCCCCCCCCATTTCTGCGTTTTTGACCATTGTTCTCAAACTATGTGTGGCTCGGTGTGACCGCGATGTGCGTATTTTTACGGTTTGGGATTCGTCGCTCCCTGGGGCTGCTCACGTTTACAGCTGCCCCACTATGTGCGCCGTCGCAAGGACACCAAAGAAAATCCGATTCGTGACCATGGCGGCCCATGGTCAGCATACGTATTGAGACTGGCGCGGGTGGCTTTGCTGGCGCGGGTAGCGCTCTTGGCCACAGGCCCGAATCCTTCGGACCCGAGGCTCCTTCCTCCTCCTCCTCCTCCGCCTCCTACTCCTCCTCCTCCTCCTCCCCCGTCCCTCCTCCCTCTTTTTCCCCCTCCTCCCTACTCCCTCCTCCCCCTCCTCCCTCCTCCCTCCTCCCTCCTCCTCCTCCTCCTCCTCTTCCTCCTCCTCCTCCTCCTCCCTCCTCCTCTCCTCCTCCTCCTCCTCCTCCTCCTCCTCCTCCTCCTCCTCCTCCTCCTCCTCCTTCCTCCTCCTCCTCCTCCTCCTCCTCCTCCTCCTCCCTCCTCCCTCTTCCCTCCTTCCTTTTCCCTCCTCCTCCTCCTCCGTCCTCCCTTCTCCCTCCTCTACCCTCGTCCTCCCTCGTTAGGAGGGCAGGTGAGGGCAGAGGAGGGAGAGGGGCGGAGGAGGCAAGGGGGAGACATTCGAGATGGACAGGAGAGCGGGGAAAGAGGGGGGAGACGATCGGAGGAGGTGACGGATCAGGGGTTGAAGGCGGAGGAGGGCTCCGACGAATTCGAGGAGGGTTGAGGGGGGAGGAGGACTCCGACTAAGTCGAGGAGGACGGATCAGGGGTTGAGGGGGTAGAAAACCCAGGATACACATCAACGTTGTTTTGTCACGCCCTTCTGCCCTGAATCCCCTCCCAATTAACCCCTACCTGTATTCTTCTTCAGTGCGGGAAGCGCCGTTGTGCAGGGGGGCACCCCGTTTTGACAATGCAAACGCCCTGCGCCAGTCATTCAACCCAACTCAGCGGTTTCTGGAGACCTTACCTGCGTTGCTGAGTCGCTGGCCATTGGTTCGGAGCACCTGTGCCCGTTGCTGCTTTCGTCGGGTGGGCGCCCTGCCCGAGCCGACCTCGGTCTTGTGCCTCGGCCCCTTTCTCCTCCTCCTCCTCCTCCTCCTCCCCCTCCCCCTGCTCCTCCTCCTCCTTCTCCTCCTCCTCCTCCTCCTCCTCCTCCTCCTCCTCCTCCTCCTCCTCCTCCTCCTCCCCCCCATCGCCCCCCCCCCCCACTCTGTGGATGCCATTCCGCTGCCTAGTCGCTTCACGGCGTGCTTTGTATAGCTCGCACGGGGAATTTGGTGTCTCCGCGGATCTGCGGCCGTTTGATATTTCCTCCGTTTCAGTCTGTAGCGCAGCTTCGCTGACGTGTGTTACAGGCATCGAGGCTGAGGTGGTCAGATAGTTTGCGGTGAAAGAAACACTCTGTGGATGCCACCCCCCTCTTCGGATGCCACACCTGGGAGGTCAGATTTTGGTTTAGCCCTGGTCCGAAATCCCGCTTAATCCATCTTCATCCCGCTTGATCCCGCTTGATCCCGCTTGATCCCGCTTGATCCGAGGCCCACTCTGGCGTAACAGCACCCCGAGTGGGGCTCGATCCTCCTTAACCCTTCCGACGAACATTTCCCAGTAGTTGCCTCCATGGCGGACTTTTTCCGCCTGCTGGCGCCCTCCCCTCGCCGTAGGATGCCTCGCTAAACGTGGCAGACAGAGCGTGGAGCTCAAAACAAAAAAAAGTAGCTGCCTCCATGGCGCGGCGCGGCCAGCAGGGGGCGTCGACGGCGACGTCGGCGCCGCCGCTTTCGCCGGGCGCCCGCGCCCTCCTCGCGAGCACCTCTGGCTCACGGAGCGTCTCCCGGGACCCATCGAGGGACGACCGGCCCTCAACACACACACGGTGGGAGGAGGAGGAGGATGAGGATGAGGAGGAGGAGGAGGAGGAGGAGGAGGAGGAGGAGGAGGAGGAGGAGGAGGAGGAGGAGGAGGAGGAGGAGGAGTGTTCTTCCCCCTCCTCCTCCTCCCCCTCCTCCTCGGCCTGTGGAGACGGGGGTCACCGCAGACGTGGGTGAACCAGAGCGCCGGTTCTTGCAGGAGCCTGCAGAGCCAGGGGTGCAGTGACCCGGACTTGCGCGCAGGATCCTGAAGGATCTTGCGGGATCTTGCGAGGCCTGACCGGCCGGGGTTTGCGCTGGCGTGGGTCAGTGGGTCACCGAAGTCTGCGCCAGTTCAGCGCGCGGTCTGAACTCGCGCGGGTCTTAAACTCGACCTTGTTCCCTCGGTTTCACGGCCGTCGCGGAGCCCTCTTGGACTGTCTTGGATGGTTCTCGAGTACGGCAGGTTCGTGCAGCGTTTGCGTGCTGACGATGCCGATGAAGGCGTTCAAGGTTGAATTCTGCGACGCGGGAGCACCGAGAGGAACACGGCGACGCCAATGGACCCGACGGACTTCAACCTTGAACGATCGGGGCCGCGATCGATTCAAGGTTGAACGATCGACGCAGTGTCAAAAGCCTTTGCGCATGCCGACGCCGCACGAACCTACCGTAGTGTTGAGGCCACCTGGTGGGCTCTCTTAGGGCAGTTATTGCGCCGTCTTGAGGGCTCCTTGGCTCCCTCTGCAGTTTTTCTGGGGCGAAGGTCTCGGGAGCCAAAAACATGCATTGTCATTTGGTTTTCCATGTGTTGTTCTGGTCGACCCAAAAGGGGGTCCAGCTGAAAGGGGGTGGTGAAATAGATGTTGGGCAATTGCATTGCAAATGTATTGCGCCGGAGAATTGTATTGCATCGTATTGCAACGAAGGTGTTGCACGCGAAACTCCAGCAATACATTTGAGCCCCGGAATGTATTGCACGCCCCAAATATATTGCAATCTCACAAATCTAACTATTGCACCAAATCTATTGCACCCCCCCTCGCTGGACACCCTTTTGGGTCAACCCGAGTTTTGCCCCTTTGGGCTTTGATGGAGGCCACTTGGGAGTCTCTTGGATACTCCTTGGTCTCTCCTGGGGTTTCTTGGGGAAGTCTTTGACCCTTTGTTAGCTCTTTATTTTAGGATGTTCTTGGTGATTTTTGCAGCAGATTTGGACGATTTGTGCTGGTGTCTTGGAGCCTCCTAGTGGGCGAAGGGAGCGCCGGCGAGGATATTCAGGGGGAAAGGTGGTTCTCTGAGGGTGGTTGCGACGAGGGGGATTGGCTGTAGAAGCATCATAGAACCTGACCGGGCAACGGAGTAGTCTCTTAACACGCCCTAGCGTGCAGCTGGCACAGTGGCGCCTTCTCGCAACGAGAAGATGGCGCCAGCTTTTTGGATGAAGCCGAGTACCTAACACATGCAGTACGGACTCGCGAGAAACCCTTGGCTGGAGGTTCTAAGATTTTTTCTCACTTGGCGGATGACGGGAGGCGCGTTCGAGCCGCAGTTCGAGAAGCAGCTACATCCTTGCATCTGGTGGTGGGTGCGAGCTTCAGGATCGTACATTGTGAGGAAGTCTCCGGCGAGCCCACCCTGCCAACACGCTTGGTGGTGCGACGAGGAGTTGTGCACGAGGAACAAGAGTAGGATGGAGGGAGGGGAGGTCCTCCTGCTGGGGCCGTCAGCGAGTGGGGCCGCGACGCCGGGGCGTCGATCTTGTACGACCAGCTCCAGGGGCTCCAGGAGCAGGTGCATCTGCGCGTGGAGGCGCAGATGGAGGCGGTGCAGCAGTCGGTCGAGGGCGCGCTGCAGCAGCTGCGGCAGGACCTGGGCTGCATCGCGGAGGACGTCGGCCGCGTCGCCGGCGACGTATCGAGGCTGCGGAGCGCTCCGCCCTCCGTGAGACACGGGCCAGAGGGACCGAGCGGGCCGCCGCACTGCGCTCAGGACGAGGCGCCGCCCGCCCCGCGCGCGGCCGCGCCTCCGCCGGCCCCGCCCGCGCCAACAGTCGCGCCCGCGCCGTCCGCGCCAGTGGCTGCGTTGCCAGCGGCGGCAGCCTCAATGGCGGCGGCGGCTTCGCCCGTGGCGGAGGCCTCACACGCGGCGGCGGCCTCGCCCGTGGCGGCCGTCTCGCCCGCGGCGGCGGCGCCGCCCGCCGCTGCAGCCCAGCTCGCGGCGTCCTCGCCCGAGTTGGCAACGACGTCAGCGGCGGCCTCGCCCGCGGCGGAGGCCTCGCCCGCGGCGGCGGCCTCGCCCGCGGTGGCGGCCTCGCCCGCGGCGGCGGCCTCGCGCGCGCTGGCGCTCTCGCGGGCGGCGGTGCCCTCGCCCGTGGCGGCGTTGACGGTGGCGCTGCCCGCGGCGGAAGCCTCGCGCGCAGCGGCTGCCTCGCCAGCAGCGGCAGCGCCATCAGCAGTGGCCTTGCCCGCGGCGAAGACCTCGCACGCGGAGGCGGTCTCGCCTGCGCCAGCCATGCCCGCGGCGGAAGCCTCGCGCTGCGCCTCGCCAGCAGCGGCAGCGCCATCAGCGGTGGCCTCGCCCGCGGCGGAGACCTCGCACGCGGAGGCGGTCTCGCCTGCGCCAGCCATGCCCGCGGCGGAAGCCTCGCGCGCAGCGGCTGCCTCGCCAGCAGCGGCAGCGCCATCAGCGGTGGCGTCGCCCGCGGCGGAGACCTCGCACGCGGAGGTGGTCTCGCCTGCGCCAGCCATGCCCGCGGCGGAGGCCTCGCGCGCAGCGGCTTCCTCGCCAGCAGCGGCAGCGCCATCAGCGGTGGCCTCGCACGCGGCGGAGACCTCGCACGCGGTGGCGGTCTCGCCTGCGGCAGCAGCGCCGTCGGCGGTGGACTCGCGCGCGGCGGCGGCCTCGCCCGCGGCGTCGGCCTCGCGCGTGCTGGCGCTCTCGCGGGCGGCGGTGCCCTCGCCCGTGGCGGCGCTGACGGCGGTGGCGGCCAGGGCCGGGAGTGCTGGCTCGCCCGCTGGCCGCGGCAGCCCAGGGGCCTGCCGGTCTCCGGCGCAGTCCCTGCTCAAGCGCAACGTGGAGGCCTTCCTGCGGAGGTGCGACAGCGCCAGCAGGCTCCTTCCGGCCACCCTCTCGTCCAATGCTTTTCCCCCTTCTCCTTTGCCTCCTCCCCCTCGTCGTCGTCGTCGTCGTCGTCGTCGTCGTCGTCGTCGTCGTCGTCCTCCTCCTCCTCCTCCTCCTCCTCCTCCTCCTCCTCCTCCTCCTCCTCTTCCTTATACCCACAAGTCCAGGGGAGGGTCAGCAGGCTGGACGCCTGCTACGCCTTTTCGGACTTGGCGCCACCCGCATCGCCAACTTGCACGGGCTCTCCTCGCCCATGAGCTTGTTCGCTGGGAGCGGTCCTTTCAGAGAGCTGAGGAGTCTGAATTAATCGATGAGGATTATTTGTTGTAGCGCCTGAGTGGCGAGGGGCACTCTGCTGTGCCCGCGTAGTTAGTACCCTCAGTACCCTCCTCCTTCTCCTCCTCCTCCTCCTCCTCCCCTTTCCATTTGCCTCCTCCTCTTTCTCCATTTCCTTTGCCATCCTTTTTTTTGTTGCGTTGCATTTGCCTCCTCCTCCGCCTCCCACTGCTCTAATATCAAATACGATACGGCGGAGTTCTCAGCACCATCTTTCCATGCACCCACTTTCTCTAGCCAGACTGGCCCGTGATTGTCCACCTCACCCTGGTCATGCTTTCGGGCGGTCTGTTTGGCCTGAACGTTCATGGCCGCAACAGACCGCCTGCAGACGTATTGGGTCATTCGAGGCCGTGTGCTGCGAGGTGTTCCCCACCATTCGATCAAGGAGGATCGAACATCCCTGAAGGTCTGGCGCCTCGCTCGGTCCCTTCATGCTCAGCGCTCTGGTTGCGAGGTGCCAATTCCGCGGATGCCTCGACTGCACCGCTCCGAACTGTTGTGCTAATGTTTCGACGTGCAGTGAACGTAGACATGCTGGTGGGAATGAGGTGGCCGCCACCGCACGTAGCCGGTGGTGGTCTGCTGGTGGTCAGCGTGGCGGCGACGAGGATGGCGCTCCGCGCCACGTACTATTGGCGAAGCTCGCGCCGAGTTGGGCAACGTCGGCGCCAGCGGCTTTCACAGAGTCGTGCCCAAACATGTGGTGCCTGCTACCTCGACGTGTAACGTGATGCGAGGCGGTGTTACTGAGGGCCGTCCTCGTGGCCGTCGCGCTCGTCAAAGTCCCCAGGCAGGGGTATCTGTTCGAACTCGGGCGAGCACTCGACGCCATTGTCGGGGTTGACGGCGACGTAGCACCAGGCCCGCGTGTTCAGGACGACGTTCCCCTTCGCTTGGCAGGCCAGACCCTATCCTTACAGCAGCGGACACGCGCATGGCCACGGCTGTCTCGCACGACGTGTCGCAGCGGAGGGTGCACGGGACTCGTTGATCCGTACTAGTACGTTGTGGCCAGCGCGCTGCCTGCCGAGCACCGCCCGAGAGTCTGGCGGGGCCGCCTCGTTCCACTGGCCGCGTGGCCGCAGCGAATGCACTGACGAGGTCCAAGACGGGCCCTCGTGACGACGGTGGGTCCTCTGCCCGGGAGAGACACTCCCACTCGTTGAGCTCGCTGGCCTCCCTGAAGGGGCGGCACGTGGCGTTGAGGACAGGGTGCTGGGTGCAGCGCGTACTCGTCGGCCTTGACTGGAAAAAAGTGCAGCGCCGCTCCGGGCGTGCGTTTTTTTTCAGTCTGCGTGTTGAGCTCCGTGTCAGCACGCCACGTGTTGCGTGTTGCGTGTCGGGGCAGCAACGTTGACGAAGGGTCGGCCGAAAGCGGCGGAAGTAAAAGTGAGGCATCAACATGATTGGGTTGCGGGTTTCCAGGGTCGGCCGCGCAGGTTCCACAGTGCGTGGGTCTCTGCTGTTTGGGGACCATAGTATGACTTCCTCGCCCGGCTCACAGGCGGTTCGACCCAGAGGTCGATGTCGGTGCCGCCCCAGCACTGCGGCGGGACATCGAGGCTGGACACGACTTGCGCATGAGGGGCACGGATTCGATGCCGTCGTGCCTTCGTGTGACCGCGATACAGACAACCCTCGTCTCGACAACTTTTCGCGCGTGTCTTTGATCGGCAGCTGCGGGACGATCACGGAGATGAGGTCGCTGTCGCTGAGGTCGCTGGAGGTGCTGTCATGGGTGGTTTCCTTCGGTGCAGGCTTCTCGACGCTGGTGGCTGACCTGGCCTTTGGGTACGTCCTGGGCAGCGCGCGGATGGCTCTCTTCTTAGTCCTTAGTTGTGGGCGCACGCATGACCTCTCGCTTGTTGATCTGACGCTGCACCGCTGGGTAAGACGAAGCCAGGACGAGGATAGCATTGGGTGAGGACAAATCGAGAATCTCTGGGATCCGGCGGCTCTGGAGGATGCATCGGGCGCCGCGGCCTCCTCATATCATAGCGTTTGGGAGCGCCCTGCGAGAGTTCTGGAACGCGCTGCGGGCTTGTTCTCGTCCCAGCCCCGTCCGGCTGGGGCCGAGGTTTGGCCACCGCCGTTGCGTGGCTCGTCGCGGTGCGCAGCACCCGGGCGCAGGTGCAGCGGCGTGGCACCTGGCCCCGGAGGGCGCCCCATGGCCACGCGTCTCTCCTCCTCAGCCTCCTGCTCGTCATCCTTCCTCCTCTCGCCTCCTTTCTCCCTTACGTCCCTCCTCCTCCTCCTCCTCCTCCTCCTCCTCCTTGTCTTCCCCGTCCTCCTCGTTCTGCCCCCCTTCTCCTTATCCTCCTCCTCCCCATCTCACTTTCCTGCTCCTCCCTACCCTCTCCTCTCTTCCTCCAGCCGCCTCCTCCTCCTCCTCCTCCTCCTCCTCCTCCTTTGTTCTCCGCAGGTCCCGCGGGCCGTCCGTCTCGCCCGTCCCCGCCCTCCTCTCCCCCCCCCCCGTCTCCCAGCCCTCCGGGGGGGGGGGGCCTCTTCCCTGGGCCGCCGATTCCCCCCCCCCTCGAGGCACTCGGACAGCCCCTCGGGCGGCCCGCCGACCCCGGCGCACGGCGGGGGCGCCGCCGCCGGCGACCACGGCGCCGCCGCGGCCGCCAGGGGCCTGCTCGGCGACGCCACGCCCGCTGGCGCCGCGGCCAGCGCCGATGCCGCCGCGGCGTCCGCGGACGGCAGCGAGGCGTTGTCGCCGGCGTCGCTGCAGGACACCGCCGCGGCGGCGGCCGCGGCGGCGGCCGCGGCCACGGAGAGGAGGCTGGCCCGGCTCGTCGCCGCCGGCGGGAAGCCGCGCCCGAAGCCCACCCCGATCGACACGAGCTCCGGGCTCCCGATGGCGGCCCAGCCGTCGATCGACTGAGCGGGGGGCGGGGCGGCCCCCGTGCTTCCCCAGCGCGCGCCCAGATGGTGCCGAAAAGTGCAGTGCCGTTTTTTGATACATGCTCCGCGTGCGGGTCATGTATGAAAAATGCATGGATCTAGTACTAAAAACAACGATGAGTTCATGCATGAAGTTATTTACAAATTGATCATGTATTAAAAACCCTATATTTTGAAATATCCCATGTCTTAAAAACTGCCCTGTAGGTGGGCTCGGTGCGGGCGGGCCGCGCGGCCTTGGCGACAGCAGAGGGCGAGCTCGGCAGGCCGATCCTCCCGCCTCCGCCGACCCCGCCTCTCGCGCAGTAGGTACTTCGAGGGTGCTGTCCCCACGCCTTGCCAGGGGGATTTGCTTTTCGGTGAGTGTCTGCAGGAGGAGGGGAAACAGGGCAGGAGGAGGAGGGGGAGGAGGAGGAGGAGGAGGAGGAGGAGAAGGAGGAGGAGGAGCAGGAGGAGGGGAGGCGGCCCCAGGGCGGCGGCTCCGTGGAGCGCTGAGGGGTGTGCTGCGGCTTCCCTTGCCGCTGCTGCTCCTCACGCCTCGCTTGGGGGGTGGACCGAAAGCCCCCTCGGGCTGTGCGGGGTGCCCATGGGTGGGGTCCATGGGGGAGGGTCTCTGGCCTTGTCTCCAGCCCGCAGCTCCTGCAGGTTTTCCTGTAGATTAGAAGTCTTAGGGCGGGATGCCCCAGGTGCGATGGGAGGAGGCGGAGGAGGAGGAGGAGGAGGAGGAGGAGGAGGAGGAGGAGGAGGACGGCGACTGCGAGGTCGGAGGTGGGAGAGGCATCACGAAGGGGCGGAGGATGAGGTTGGCTGGGGAGGCCGAGGATTTGGAGGAGGGGGGGAGGACGGAGAAGGGGGAGGACAGGAAGTGGAGGACGGCGGATGGATCAGGCGAGAGGGGGGTGCGTGTGGGGGAGGAGGTAGATGAGGAATAATAATAATGTTATTATTAGTATTACTAAAAATACTGAGAACACTAGTAGTAAGAATGATCATTCTACTATTCAATCCACTGTACGATGATGATGCTGATGATGCTGGCGATAATGAAGATGCTGCTCCTGATGATGATGATGATGATGATGATGATGATGATGATGAATACTATGACGCTGATATCGATGCTCATGCTGATGATGATGCTCATGCTGATGACGATGATGATGATGCTGATGATGATGATGATGGTGGTGGTGATATTGAGGATGATGATGACGATACTGATACTGATGCTGAAGATGATGATGCTGCTGATGATGCTGATGATGATGATGCTGATGCTGATGATCATGATGAGGAAGAGGAGGAGGAGGAGGAGGAGGAGGAGGAGGAGGAGAGGAGGAGGAGGGGAGGAGGAGGAGGAGGAGGAGGAGGATGAGGAGGAGGAGGAGGTGCAGAAGGATTCGGAGCACGAATCGGAGGAGGGAGGAGTCGGAGTCGACGGAGGAGGAGGATAATAAGGATGATGAAGATGATGATGATGATGATGATGATGATGATGATGATGATGATGATGATGATGATGATGATGATAATAATGATGCTGATGATGATGATGATGATGATGATGATGATTATGCTGATGATGATGATGATGATGATGTTGGTGATGGTGGTGGTGATGATGATGCTGCTGATGATGATGCGGATGTTGCTGCTGATGCTGATGATGATGCTGCTGCTGATGATGATGATGATGATGGTGATGATGATGATGCTGAAGATGATGATGGTGATGCTGATGATGCTGAGGATGATGATGATGATGATGATGATGATGATGATGAGGAGGAGGAGGAGGATGAGTCGGAGGAAGAGGTTGAGGAGGA